ATAATAAGTGTTATGATGTGTTATTCCAGTTAATATTCTTGCTGCCTTACTTGTACTGATTAAAGGTTTCACAGGGTGAACTCTGCTGTGCAGATACTGCATAAGCTATTCAGGAATAAAAATTGATCTCATGAGAGCTAAGAGAAGAAAATATTAAAATTCCAGTGTTCCCTTCATTAGTGCTTGCATTAAAATCTGCTATGGCTTCTCCTTCTGCCCCCCCCCCCCCAGCTTCCAGCATACGTGCTATCATCAGGTCATTTCTGTGGCATGCTTAGTAACAATTATTTTTACTTTCTGTTTTCTTAATTGTATTTTTAACTCTTTAGCATCAAATGACCATAATTAATGTTCATTAATGTAATTGCTGGGAGTATAAGTTGAACGTTTCTCTGTTTGAAATAGTACTTTAGCAGCTTAGCAGGTACCTAATAGTAGCAACTCAACTTCCCATTGGGGATAAACTGACACTTCTTGAGCTTTCCCATCTCTCTCTCTCTCTCTCTCTCTCTCTCTCTTCCCCCCATCCTGTTTTATAATAATGGATCTTATTTAAATAAAATCATTTTTATTTAATTAGGAATTTTAACTAGATTATAGTTGTTTCAGTCTGTTTAGCTGCTGTCATATTTTTTATTTTATTATTGTGTTGTATACAATAATATACAGTTCTCTGTTCAGAACTGTAACGTTCTTTTTCAAATCACTTGATTGAAAATAAAATAATAAAAATGATCCAAATGGGAAATGATCCAACTGATCCAAATGGGATACTCTATTTGGGAGTATCTTGTTGATTATAAAGATGAAGACAGCAGCATGCACCAAAGATAAATTTTCTCAGAACATATTGTACTGTTATAGTTGTATTGGTAGATATTTTTGTGCTGAATATTTGCTGATAGTTTTGCATGAGGTGTTTCCTGCCAGGTCCCAAGAACGAAGAATGATATGATGCATTATTTCTGAGTAGTTTCCTTTACTGGTCTTCACCTATAGACAGAATCTTTTGTCAATTAAATCTTTGCAATGATTTGGTGGTGGCAAAATTCATCTCAGAATGTGCTAACAATTGGAGAATATATAACTATCGTTTTATTAAAACAAGCAGGGGATGTTAGGATACAGTTCTCTTGCTATCATGAATGAAGAATGCTAGAGGCATGATAAAAGTTCTTATGTAATATTACAGAGATTAAAGATTTCATTGTATTCATTTGATCCGGGGGCAAATAATTAGTTTTCAACTAATAAAGGTATGAGTATAATGCACAGAAATCTGGCCTTCTCTGTGTCCTGAAGGAGTATATTTTGTGATACAGGGTTCTTAGCCCTTTAAAAATGGGGCTGCTTTCCTGTTGATATTCTAACAATTTGATCTTAAATACTATTATGAATAGAAGGAATTGTAAAGATACCCATTATCAGCATCCTTGAGAACTGCTCATCTTTGAGTAGTTTATAGAGACATACAGTTTGTGAATCAAAAGCTATTCATTGATATTAAACAGGTTACAAAATCCATTATGTATGTCATAATTGGAGTAATGTGTATAGGGATAAGCATTAGCTCATTCCAGATAAAGATTAAAGCAAGTTAAGTTAGAGTATATGCAGAATAAGGAAACCCTTAACAAATATCTTCTGTTGTCTAATCTTCTACTGATTTTATTTTACAATCCTCTCGAGAAAATGCTAGTACATCATGGTAAGTTAACCATTTATGTTTGCTTATAATTTCTTGTCTCTAAAATGCTTCTTACTCTAAAAGCTGCAAAGGTGTTTTGAGGCACAAGCTAAATTCTGGTCGCAATTGTTGTTATAATCAGAGCACCTCCTTCACTCTGTGCTAGATTTCCTAAAAATCTCACATAAAGTAAATAAAGCAAAAAAGTGGGGAAAAATTGGGTTGATGGATAGGGTGTCAAATTTTGTAACCCAAGTGCATTGCCACATGTGGTTCTGAATTTTTAAAGCTGTGTTCTTAAGCACTATCAGTTGCTCAAACACGTTTCCTTCCTTGTCTGTTGTTCTGTGTACAGTTGAAAGCATTTTCCTTCAACTTGTCTACAGTTCCCTTCAGCTCCCATTAACTGAGTGTTGATCCATTTGGTTGTGACTAGGAATTGATTGACTGGCTTGCCACCTGAGCCTCACCACGGGCTTAGAGAGAATGAATGGCCCAAGGTTGGCTTTTATCGCTAAGGGGGGACTAGAACACACAGTCTCCTGGTTTCTAGTCTGGCGCTTTAACCATTAGACCAAAGTATATCTATATTTAAATGCTTTCTATTCTATCCAGAGTTGTATGAATGTACACCCCACTGGGCAAGAGGAGACTTTTATGTATTAAACTTGTAAAAAACAAAGTATTCCTCTAGAAGTTGTTTGACAGATGGACACAGTTTTAATAGGTCTAGAATATCAGGAGTTTCAAAGTGTGTTTTCATTCTTGGATGGCTAGTTCATTTTGCTGAAACGCAAAGCTGTGCTTTAGTTTGTTTTTCAATTATATTTATGCTGTTTTATGAATCAATAAGATTGAAAATGTACTAATTTTCAAGCACAAATGTTTATCGTTTTGATTAATACTCCCTCTGGTGATACACTTTGGATTCTAAAGCATATCTGTTTTGATCCTGCAAAGGTTTGTTATTAATAAACTTGATGAATCTATTTGTGTTATAATTGTGCCTGTGATCATAATTAACTTTCTATATTTTATAATAAAATAGATGGAAAATGTCTTATATTATTGGCCTGCTGTCATGTGATTTAGTACTGTGTTCTCATGGAAAATCAAAAGCACAAAAATAACTGTGTAAACAAATGCTAATGTAACAACTCTGACAGTAATTTCCTGGGTAGCTGTGGTATTTGTATTGCTACCAATATTGTGTATTGAGGCTTGAGTTTGGATGTGTTACCATCAACTTGTTAGCTGGTAGCTGAGTAATTGTATTTTATATAACAGTTGCAATGTTTTTCAAATACACAGCTAGTCTTGCACATTGTATAACCTGCACAATTATTTGCTTCAGAACTGTGCACTGAACTTTGCATGTAACTTTTCTGAATGGAACAGCTAATTCTTGCTTAAACTTTAGTGTTGGAAGTCTTACAAAGTAATATTATTATAGATGCAATTCCTATTACCGCATTGTATAGAACTAGATTGCTTGTTTTGGGTTTGGTTGCTGTTCTTTTCTGTGTAACAAAGAAATGATAACCTCTTGATCACTATAATGAGAGAATTCAGTAGTGTATGATGTTAAATTCTAAATGCAAAAGGATTGCATTTTCATTGCTTTTATAAATATGTAGTTAATGTTTGCTTAGTTTCGTAGATGATGGAAAAATGTGCATTTACTATACTGCATACCTGCCCTGCTAGGCAACCCCTTTTCAAAAATTATAGAATAAGTACAGGAAATTGAACACTCAGGTTATTCATAGCTCCTGGGGGGACCCAGCAGAAGAAGACACAGCAATCTTGCTTTGTTACATTTACCTCACAGAACATTCCTTTATCTGTGGAGAAGTTTTTATTCTTATCTCTAATGCTAGTTTCAATGAGTTCTGCCAAGGAAATTTGCAACAAGATCACAGAGGTAATAAAAACGGCAATTAGAAATAGCAGTTATAAGGCTTGGTGAGTAATTAATAGTCTGGGAAAAAATTAGTTGTTTGGTTCAAGTAAGGTGGTTTCTACTGTAAGGTGGATGGCACAGGTGAAAAAGGACCTGTCATCTTTATTCAGTAATATGCTTGTGAAACTTTGAAGACGATTTGAATGGGTGAGAAAATTAAATATATGTTGTAGCACTGTGCAAAGACATCATTTGTGGAACTGACCACAACTAATTTGTACTGCAGTCTTAATCAGTGCAATTGGAGCTCTATAGGACGGAAATGAGTCAATAAAATACTCTGCCAGGCCAGTATTCTTTCACTTGATAAAATCAAGCATGCCGTATTATGATTTTGGGAATTATCTTCTGCTTTCTTAGCCAAGTAAAAAACTATAGAAGTTTCGGATTTCATAGTTAAATAAAGGCTTTTTGATTTCTGATTTGATTGTTTTACTAAAAATCTAATAACTTTAAAGCTCATGAGATAATACAAACATACAAATACATACAGTATATACATTTGTTGTATATACTACTCACATAGTACTGTTCTGAAATAGAAGTCCAAAGAAAATTCTTCCAAAATTCAGACAAGGCACAATTATGCTTAAAAAACTCATTTTTATGATCCTACCTATTCTGTGTATTCCTTTGGATTTGAAAGCCAAAAGATATTATGGAGCATATGGGAACATGATTGTGGTATTGGTTTGTAGTTCCTTAAAGCAACTACTGTAAATCCCCCCCCCAGGATTACATGGGTGACCACTGTACCTGCATAATTGCAGGAAAAGACCCAATTGGTATAAGGAATTGCAAGTGGAGTTTTAATGTTGTTTTCTTTCTGAGATGCCTACCGTTAATGTGTTTTAGAAAAAAAATTCAATCATTAATTTTGTTATACAGGTAGTCCTCAACTTACAAGCATTCTTTTAAGACTGTTCCAAGTTATAACGGCACTGAAAAAGTGACTTGGTGCAAAATGGTGCAAAACTCACTTAACAACTGCCATGGTTAACAATGAAAATTTTGGGCTAATTCAATTGTGGTCATAACTCGAGGGCTATCGGTAACATGTCAGGTTTGGTAAACAGAAACAGAAAGGTGAATATAAACAGTAAACAAATGTTAGGATTGTACTCCTTTGTACATTGAAACTCATGTAGCACAAATAGTTTATATTTGTATTTGTATATATTATATATTGTATATATATTTGAGCATGCAAATTAAAATGTATACATTTGTAAAGTTTATTTTAATATTTATTTTACTAAATTGATAGTAGTAGGAGAATTGGCATTTTTTTTTCATTTTCCAATATAAGGGATGGCTACCATTCCTTAAACTCTTTCTATTTCTTTACAGAAGAGAACACCAATGAAGCTTTCTTGATGCAGAAAAGTCTTAGTGAAAAAGTCTCCCTATACAGAGGTGATATCACAGTGCTTGAGATTGATGCCATAGTTAATGCTGGTAAGTTTTATAATACCTTTCATGTCATATTTAGCTTCTTAGTTGTTGAGTGTTCTAAGAAACCTCTGGAAAACTCCAGAATAATGTGCATGGGGGGAAAAAGTGCCCTTAGTTGATGCTAATAATATTAAATTCTCTATTGTCAGATATATCCCAAGGAAATTCAAATTTGTGGCCTCATAAAATAGGTGAATATCTATTGTTTTGCTGAATGCTTAATTTTATCTAATTTCTGCTGGTCAGTTGGGTAACGAACTATGCATTACAATGAAATATATTCTTCCTTTCAAATCTTACTGAGCTTTCTGTCAGGAGCTGTCAGAAAAAATATTTTGGGGAAGAAAGGCAAGGAAATTTTTGTGTGGTTGAGATATATTATGAATGGAATAAATGAGTTATTTTTCAAATATGGAAAGGATTTCTACAAAGTGGATAGTCTTAAGTGGGTATGTATGCATCTTTGGGTGTGTATATATATATATATATATGTTTGTGTATATCTATATATGTGTATGTCTATATATGTCTGTCTGTCTGTCTGTCTATCTATCTATCTGCAATAATTTCTGTTCTTACTTTTAATCTATCTTTCTTTTTCCTGAAATTGTGGCTTGAATTTTGGCTGCAGATGATTTAACATCTTCTCAAATTTCTTATTTTTAGCAGATTTTGTAAACAATTTCCTCATATTCTGAAAGTATATGCAAGAAATGCCTTGCATATGTGTCTTGCACTCTGGAAGGTGCATCAGTTGTTATCTTAAGCTTTGGTTCTGTTATTATCACTGCAATTATGAACTGATAGTAAAGTAATGATGGTCAAAGGTAGTTAATGTTATGCTAGATTCAAAATCAAACCAGAATTTGAAATCTTAGGTACTCTTAACTGTCTAGGTATGTTTGCAGGTCACTAGATTGGCCAAAACTGAACTAATTCATTATCTTTCTCTTTTTTATATATAAATTTATTTAAAAAATAAAGAGAACATAAAAACTAACACAAATACAGAAAAAAGAAAGCAAAAAACCCCCTACTTTTGTACCTCTGTAACTAGGGCTTCTGTGCATCATTCAGGATTTTCCCATGTGCTATCCAGGGCCTTGGTGTGTAAAAGAAAACTGGTGCATGAAATATAGTCCCTTCTGGCATGAACAGAGGCCCGGAGGGGGTGGCACAAATGGAGGCTCCAGGTGTACCGCTATGAAAGAAGTCAGCAAGAAAAGAATACAAGACTGATCCACTAGGGGTGTATGACATAGCGGGCATGGTGGCAGTGAACAGGGCCTGGTAGGGGCTGCGGTGGGTAGAAAGGTGGCAAAAATATGGTTGTAAATTCAAGTGGGCCTAAGTGGGCCTGAATTTTGTTTTTGTGACTGTGGTAGCACTACAACAGATGGAACATTGAGAACTAGTTATAAATGTCGTTGTTCAGTGTTGTAATAACTTTGAATGGTTGCTAAAATGAATGGATGTTAAGCAAGGACTATCTGTACTTTTAAAGTTAGTTATTATATTTCCTGAAGGTTTATAAGCTACTTAAATTGCAGAGTACAGTACTCTAAGGAAAATTTACTGCAGTATAGTAAACAAGAAAATTAGAACAATAGATGATGATAACATAATACAAATCAATAATATTAACTCCACATCCATCCCATTTAAGAATGTCATTTTCAATAAAAACACTCACTTAACCTACATCAGGGGTGGGAACCCAGTACTCAGTCAATTCCTGAATACTTTCTGAAATAGTCAGGTCTTGGCAGCTTTCTAAATGTCAGTAAGATGAATTCTTATATGACCTTGGGCAGATTGCTACCCCAAATAGTAGGCAAAGCACATAATAACCAGACCTGGCAATGGCTAAGAGCAGGCAAGTTGAAGAAAAGAGACCAAGGGGCTAATTCTGGCTACAGAAGACCAAGCCTTAATGACAAATGCATATAAATCCAGAATTGAAACAGCAACAGACAGCAAGCGACACCTCTGTAAAGAGTCAATCACCTGATTAGCTGCTGCAAGAAGACTGCACAGATTGACTACAAACAATGGTATGACAAAGTAGCAATAATGGTACATTGGAATATCTGCAAGAAATACTATTTGCTTGTAAGCAAGCAAATGGTGGGGCCACAAAATAGACAAAGTAATAGAAAATGAAGAAGCTAAAATGCTTTAGGATTTTAGAATTCAAACAAATAAGCAACTGCCACATAGCAGACTTAACAATTATTGGTAAGAAAGAAAAAAAAGTCAGGTTAGGGGACTCAGAGACAGCAGACTATAAGTAAAGAACTTGAGAAAAATCACAAAATACAAAGACCTGCAAGCAGAAATAGAACGACAGGCAAAAGAAAGCAAAGATAGTACCAGTAGTGATAGGTGTCTTGGGTGCAATCCCAAAACAAATTGAGCACTACTTGAACACCATCGGCATAGACAAAATTACTATCAATCAATTGCAAAGGCAGCTTTTCTTGGAACAGCTTTTATCCTACAATGATACCTCAGGTTCCTGGGAAGATTTTGATAGGTGGATAAAAAATGCTAAACCCAGTCTAAGTATCTAGTTGATTGTGTGACCAATCATACTTTATTCAATTTGTATGGTATCTAATTAGAACACTAGAAACCACTTATGAATGATTCAGTGCTAGAAAATAGCTGGACTGCTGCTCAGATTGACTAGATTGACATGGTCCAGATCTAGAAAAAGGAAAACAGAAGTTTCTCTGTTTTTCTGGAATGATTCACCATGGTTCACTTCTGAAGTAAAGTTTTTTTATGTAACTGCTAACCACATCCAACTCTTCCTAGTTTTTTCAAGATCATTTAAAGCTGGTTACGTGCTGCCACCTGCTGTTAGACTATTTCAGTTACTGGAAGTTGTACCTTATATTCTTAATATCTATTAATACGAGCACTCCTTTAAAACTTAGTGGCCATCGCTACATCTTACAATAGCCAGTTGTCCTGTCTACTGTACATTATGTGAAGAAGTATCTATCTCAAATTTTCCACAACTCTGTTCCAGGATATGATCTTAGGTTCTAATAATTTCAGAGAAAGCCTTTTTCTATCAACTTCTCCCCACAGCTTGAATAATTTATCCTAGTTCTATAAAAAAAAACTTCACTTTTTTCTTCCTATACTCTCTCTTCAAAAAGGGACTTGCTCTAGCCTTTTGATGAGCTCAGTTGCTCTTTTCTTCATCTTTTCAAGATCACATGAAAAATATTTCAGTAGATTTCTAAAAACTGAACTTAGATAAAAGAGCAGGAGTAAGATAATATAAGAAACACCCATTAAAATATAGGATATTCTTTTTAATTGCATAGAGCAGAATATTTTATTGATTGACTTTTTGCCTAGTTTCCTTTGTATCCTAATTGTATGAACTATCACTTCCCTCTCAAGCCAAAAAAATTAAACTTCAGGAGAGAAACAGGGTGTTTGTATGTTGAATTGTGAACTGAATATATTAGCTCTGAATTACGTTTAAATGAATATGTTAGTATAGTCTGTTTACTAAGTTACGCCTCCCTGTATGAGCAGCTTGTTAATGCATAATCAGTCACTAAGGTTGCCATGAATTTTAGGCTTAATGAACAGGTGAAGGGAAAAGTGGAATTTAAATCTGAAATTGATCTGACAGCCTATCTCTGATTACTATTCCATTTCATTTGGCAACATAATTTATCATATAGTTAAAATTGTCTATCTGTAGCTTTCCAGAAGGAAATTAATTCAGAAGCATGCCCAATAATATTAGGCTGAACCAATCTATTTAAATATTGCACCAGTGCCAAAGAATGAAATGTTGTATTGGGAGGATATCTTTGAAAAGCCATCATTCTTGATTTTAAATTGGCATAGACAGAGACACCAACTACGTGTGGTCTTAACTTTTTGTTCTTCAACACATTATTCACATATGATAAATAACACATTTATACTGAAAAGGATTAGAAGTTTTCTTGAGTGTTCTGGGTTGAAACAGTATGAGTATTGAGAGGCTGAAAACATTTTTTGCTACATTCCCAGTGATGTTTAGAGATGCTGTCTAACTAATGACACTACTAATAGTAAGTGGAATTATAACCAGAGGGTGCAAATTGCTATAAAAGCAGATGTTAGAAATGGATGGGCAAGGCTTTCAGGTTCCCCTAGGTTTCGCTTTGCAAAAGGGATATTATTATACCTTTCCTCCAAAATTGCAAAGGGCAAGACATTAAAGAAGGCTAGGGGAAAAAAAACTCTGCAATGCATTAGGCAGGTGATGCTGAATAGATAATTGGTGGTGTGGAAGGTTCCCTCTTTATTTATTGCCAATGCTCCTGTACTAATTTGTCCTCTTCTACCTGAAAGCTGTGTCAAATAGCTACTGCTGTATTTCTCCTCTACCTCTTGGATTCATTGTGACCAGGAGGACTGCACAGCCACACTGGTATAAATCACTCTTTCTAGGAAAAGCAAGATTTATTAAGAAGGATCATGTCAACCAATAAATCATTAGAAAAATGGAGCTTGAGTCAAAAATAAAGCCAGTATATGCAAGTCCTAGTTTCCAGGGGTATCATCCTGATTTCCAAATGGACTGCTGCTTTCTTGATTCACCAAGATACTCAGAAGAGCACTGATAGGAATCTGGACTGAATGACATCTAAGGGCTTTAAGTTACTGTATATACCTGACAACTATATAGCATCTGTGAAAGAGGTTTAGCTTTAAACAATTTTATAACCACAGGCATGTTCTTGCCTCCTCTAGTATCAAAAAAGACCAGTATGACTTACTGGTATTGTTAGCCTCATCAGAAATGATTTAATTTGCTTACACTAGACCAGGGGTCTTCAAACTTGGCCCTTTTATGACTTGTGGACTTCAACCCCCAGAATTCCTCAGCCAGTGTGCCTGACTGAGGAATTCTGGGAGTTGAAGTCCACAAGTCATAAAAGGGCCAAGTTTGAAGACCCCTGCACTAGACGAGTATTGAAATACTATACCAAGATATTTGAAGAATAAAGTCTATGAGATTATTATTTTCCTTTGATGTGCAATTAGCATTGTACCATATCAATTCCTTCAAGAGTACCCTAATTTTGGTTTTAGAATA